AAAAATTAATGGCTACCCCCAGTTTTCTTTGTGGATTCCAATAACCCTAGCTAAGATCTACTTTTTCCATGTTTTCCTAATCTGGCGGAAACAGGTTTATATTTAGCAGACACCGTTCTTTATGAGCCTAAGACACACCTCTGTTGCTAATGTCGTCCAGTTCTGTGATGGAGCACAGCTGCATGTCTGCACAAGACTAGTCTTCAACTCTATGTAGGGCGCTTTACGTGATCTTGGGATGTTGCAAACATCTAGATCAAAATACTCGCATATCAAGTAAAACATGTTGATGCTTAGCTTTTTAAAACCATTATAGATGCATTTAAGGCGCACAAGTTGAATGAGTCATAAGCAATTGGATGAGTTAACTGACACTTGTCAATTGTAAGAATATCTGCAGCTTGATTCTCAGCGGGCTGTTGTGTCTTCTTCGAGGACCTCCTACTGTCTGTTTCTGAGCTTTGCAGCCATCCTGGAGAAGAAGGATTGAACGTGGCAAGAAGTCAGGAACTCATCTAAGGTGAACCGCCTAATTCTGTCCTCATCTTTTGTGATACAGCAACTGCTTCCACTTTATGGCTGTCTCCTGACCTAAGAAAAACTATTCTTCGAGGTAGTTTTTTTTTTTTTTATTGAAACGAGTGGCCAGTTTTGCCACTTTCAGGGCCCAGCCTTTAGGTTTAATTTCTTTAGCAGGGACTGGAAGTATAGAAATTGCTAGGACCGGGTGAATACCGCGATTGTTGCTATGGCATGCTTTGGCCTAGTCAAATAGGTTTTCTCTTTCAGGAACAAGTCAACATGAACCGTACTGTAAAATAATGGTTCTTCAGTAATTACCTTAGCATTTCCTTGTCTGATGCAAAAGGGAAACAGCTTAGAAAATACTAGGAGTTTCAATAAAACGTCGTTTACCATTACTTCTTGTGCACTGCTTGTCAGTCTGTTACCTTTCAGCAGCATTTGATGGCATTTCCGGCAGTGAAAGACACAAGTATAAGGCTGAACAAAAAAACCAGTGAGAGGCTTTTTATTGGAATTCTATCCCCATTTTATTTGTAGTAAATTAAAACTCTCCACAAAAACTAATGGCTGTCAATGAGCTTAGGATAGTTGTTCACATATATAGTGTGGGGTGTTGTGCCTTGATCTCTTTGCAAAGACACAGAGAAATTCGTTTAACGGTACAGAATTCGGAACACTTTTAATTCTCTGTTTATTTCTCTAGCCCCGTCTTTATCTATTTATTCAGGGTACTAGGGCAACGAGTGTAGAAAATGACTCAAATTTCCAAGCAGAAACTCATATTCAAATCATTCCGGCCACGGTTTAGCCACTGAAATGTCCACTAAAATGCGTAAAATGGCTTTAAAACCGGTTACATTTTCACTTCCTACCCACCCTACCCTTATCCATTGGAATGTGCACTTGTCAAATGTAACGTAACCTGTGGAATAATGGCGGGTGCTCAACAGATCGAAACAGAACTGACCTTAAATGAGTTACTGATGAGGAGGAGGATTTTAAAGGTTGCTAACAGACTTTTGGGTCAGTTAGGATCTCAGCAAATTGTTAAACGTCTTGTAAATGGCGGCTTACGAGACGAAAGACAATAATATTGATATTGATAGATGTTATGACGCGGGCTTTGGAGAGTTGAAATCTGCTTTACTATTGTGATGTCTCAGAGTGATTTCGTACAGTGTTAATCATCGAAAATGCGGCTGGGGGCTGAAACCTACTTATAATATAACATGAGGTATTGTGGTACACCCAGTCGTCGACATGTCGCGAGGTAAGTGGAATATATCATTTTCTTCATGTATCGTTATTTTCATGTCATTATGTTAATTAGGATGGCGGTCTTTGTTGACAAAAGTACAGCTTAAACTTCTTCTTCAAACATTTTACAGTTTCAGCTGCCCAAACTTGTATTGCATATTTTTACAGGGGAGACATTGCTCTTTGAGTGGAGGGTAGTTTTGGGATCTCAAGTGATGTACTTAAATTTAAATTTTGCCTTTTTTATGGCGTTTCATGAATAGTTTGAAAGGGAAGAAATTTAAAATTCTGTACAAAAATCAGATGTTGGTGAAACTGCCAAAACAACCTCTCAACGTAACAAGAAACATTTGCTTGTCTCAAATAAAGGATTTTTATCCGGATTTATGTTTTCTTTGTGTGGCAAATTGTTAAAAATGTGCCCTAAAATGGCCACCAAAAGCCCTCTCAGAGGGGCAAAACCAACATGGTCATCCCAGGGCTAAAATACCGATCGAATTGAACTGAAAGTTATATTTTTGTGAATCACTTATGTAGACCATTCATCTGAGAAAGTTTGAGGAATTTGATTTTTTCTCGTCCAAATGACCACAGTTGATAATTACAGAGGGTGGCTCTTAATAAGTTCACACACAATACAGTCAAACCTGTATATAACAGCCCTGTGTATAGCGGTCACCATGTGTATGACGTTCACTGACCAACTTCCCAAAAATCTTCCCTTATATTTACTGTTAAGTTGACCTGCATATAGCGGTCACCTGTATATAAGGGATGCGGCCACCAAGGCAGGAGTCTCACAGAAATACAAATATTTGTACTAAACACAACTACTAATATATGTGATCACCTACGTCCAACATATGCTTGCAGCAGATAACATTAAAGTGTTGTCGCTTTCAAACAATAGTTACTGTAACTGTGACAACACAACCGTACCACACCGTTTTCACTTTTGTCATAGTTCCTTGATTATAACACTGTACTGTACTTATTTGACTCAAATTGTTGTCAATAAATGTAAAATGAGTGGTTTTCCACTTGAAAACGTTGTTCATTAGCTTTCAGTAGACTTT